ACAAATCATCCATTATAATGTGACCACTCTTTTCCCTGGTGCAGAACTACACAAACATTGAAAAGTCTCCAGGTTTAGACTAGGTTTAGTATGATTGAACATGAAGTACCGGTACAACATGTACATTTACAGGTGTACAGTATGAAGGCAGGTGCAAGTACAGTACATGTCCTCTCAATGACAAAAGAATAGTGACACTGAGCCTTTCATTGTCATAAATTATTGCATGAGAGAACAAAAGAAAAGAAAAAGTAGACAGGTGCATCAATAAATGAGCCCTATAAGAAGAGAAGATCAATAATGAGAGAGAGAGAGAGAGAGAGAGAGAGAGAGAAAGGAGAAAACTATGTGACAGGTGTGTTAGAGCAGCAACCTCATAACATAAGAAGTGAGAAAATAATGGGAGAAATAACAAAATAGAGAGAGATAGAGAGAGAGGTAGATAGAGAGAGAGAGAGAGAGAGAAGGTTAAATCTGAAGTTCTCTTTCCCAATAATGCCAATAATATGGCCTACAATTTTTGAGAAGATGACATTGCAAAGTCCATCACCCCAACCTTTCCATTGCAGTACATTGAACGTGACTACAGTTACAGTAGGCCCCCCCATAACATAATTGTAAAGAGCATTCAATAAGCCAGTTCACGGTTGCAGTCTGAGCATGAGCAGATAAAGGTCATTGCAGAACAAATTTTGAAATACACGGAGACGAAATACTGGATACGTGTTCATGAAAGTTATGTAACATTATTCATTCATGCACATTCAGTGCCATCCATGATACACAGGTGGAAGTATTCTTTGAAAAGGGGAAACAAAGGCTATTTATATAGCACCTCCATCGCTGTAGGAGTAATTATTTCAAAATGTAAAAAGTGGGACCTCTTCATGTTTTTAAGATCTGTGGATATTCGGGGTCATTGCAGTAATGTGCTAACCGTGAACTGGTCTATTATAATTCATAACGTCACCCGACCTACAATGTTATGTTCTAATCACACCTTATAGATATCCTTATCAATATTTGTATTTATAGCTGCTGCAACATTTTCTGCAGGATTTTTTTTCCTTGAAGGCAATTTATTTATTTTTTGATTTTCCACACAGATTTTATTGTAATATTCCTGAGATTTCTTTAGCTTTTCACAGCTACATGTACACTGTATAAGGCAACACTCTCTTTTTTCTTTTCTTTTCAATTCCTTTTGTTTGATCGGTATGCACTATAAATATACCGTCACAGTCTCTTTCTCACAGGTGTAGAATATTCCTTTTCATGCGCTATGCAAACATTTATCTATTTTGCTCTCAGCATTTCAATGCTATCAGCGCTTTGTATCAAGCCAACTGTCATCGGCTTTTACAGTGCCTGCTGGAAATTCTAGCTGAATGGATGCAGTGAACGGTTGGTTGAAGACATTCTGCAATCCGAGAATAAATTTACAGAACATTGGGCATGGTAATGACTTGCTGCTGAACTTGTAATTTGTCAAAGACATAGATAGTTTTTTAACGATAAGGTTGAGGGACTTTCATTCCTTTTTCTTTTATTGCATGAATGAAGTGACTACTGGTGAAAGAGACACGAAGGTCGTCCGGTGTGATGATCTAGCTCTGACAGAAGCAATGGGTGTTGCGACACGTGCTCCAGGTGGCACATTTGCTCAAGCTTATTATATCATGAAAGATACACGTACATGTACATGTAGGATTAGGTTTGGTGTTGGCCATGGGTTTCTAGGTTACATTTAGGACGTTTAGGGTTGGATATCAACTTTAATCTAAAGTTTAAGCAAAGAATTTGGCGAGTGTAGGAAGACGAGCATATATACACATTATCATATATATACGACACATGCTCTCGCAAGAAAATGCTCTCGCAAGAAAATGCCCTGCAGCCATTTTCTTACAAGTACATAGACTGACTTATTAACTTTAATCCTGGACCCAACACTTTACCTCACCAGGTATTTTAAACCCTAGCCCAAATATGAAACCTTTGACGCAGTCGAAATAAAGTCTTGAAACAACTGTCGCTTGAACACATCAATGCATGCCTACCTAGTTGGTCCATGGGGTATGAGAAGAATCCATCATAATGGCAAAGATCAAAGATATTATGAAAATGCAACCAAAAGAGGATATGAACATATGAGATAAGGAAGAGATGGAAGAAGGAAGAGATGAAGCATAAGGGACAAGTACCGAGGTAAAGTAGAAAAGAATATGAAGAGATGAGAGACAAGGTCTGGAGAGAGCGAGAGAGAGAGAGAGAGAGACAGGGAGACAGGGAGGGGGGAGAGAGAGAGAGAGAGAGAGAGAGAGAGAGAGAGAGGTGGAGAGAAAGAGAGAGAGAGAGAGAGAGAGAGAGAGAGAGAGAGAGAGAAAGAGAGAGCTGTTTGGGATGGATGAGGGGTCAGTCCTGCAGAGGAGGAGGAAAGATAAAGGTGGTGGATAAGGGAAAGGGAGAGCAGAGACAGATGCCTGGTAAGGACTGGAGATGGTGATCTAGGTATCTAGACTGAGGGAAAAGATAAGAGAAAAGGAAGGATATCTGAGAAGAATGAGGATCTAATATGAAGAAAGTGAAAAATAAGAGTTAAGGACTAGGGAAGATGGAAGATGAAGATCACTTTGCCAATATCTAAATAAGTTCTGTCCTTCTTGTCATGAAAGGTACATTGTAAATATCATGAAGCTCCTATTCCTCTTTGTTTTTGTATTATTCATCAATCATTATTAAAAACTTAAAAAAACCCATCTGCTCAGAGTCTGAGGTACGATAATTCACATCATCACTCAACAAAGAATTCACAGCGTAGCAGCTCTCAACAGACAGATTAAAAAAAATTAATAAGGCAACCATACAAATCATGGAACCAGCCATGCATATTTGCGAATACAATAAAACACTTTTGCTGTCTGATCTTATCTTATTCATTCTCCTTGAAGAGCTCTTATGGAATCCATACAATATTTGATCTTATCTGGCTTCCCTGTGATACTAACAAAGAACTATTATGATCTGCCCTTCTCTGCTTCTAGTACCGTTATGTAAATCACTCATGCAAGGCATCAGTGAATTACATGTATGGGCAGTAGTCTGTAGAATGGAGATATCATACAATAAATCTAAAGCTCGTTTACACTATAGGGTGTATCCAAAACTAGTATTTTAAACAAACATCATTTATATATAGAACAATTGTATAGCAAAAGGTGTGTACAGACTCAGACTAGACAACACTGTATAAAAGAAACTAGTTTTTAAGAGGTCAGCTGACATGGCAGCTGGTCAATCATCACTCGCTCAAGATAAGCTTCGCCCAGGTATAGAATAGCGTGTCATACAACATTCAAAACAAAGCAACAAGACAACTGCAAAAATGAAATTGAAAAAAAAGCATAACTATAATTTATAATCTGATGAAAATGTAGGTCCATGGTTTATGCCTTTCCATCATCCAATGAGGCAATACAGTATATGCGCCACTCATACATTGTGTATGGCTAGAGTGCCCAAGTCTGTGCAGCACCCTTGTTTGTTGTATGCGCATTTGTGTTACTGCACTATTCTAAAATAACAAAAAATGCAACAAACACAAGAACTCCTTTTCTATTAGAGTAATACACATTTGTGCCAAAAATAAATAAATACTAATGAGAAGTTTAATTTAACTAATTCTATTCAAAAGCCTTTAAATGCCATCTTTCACATCACAAATCAAGAACTACATGTACTAAAGTGAATGGACCATTCATTGGAACCTTTATTTTTGCAATGCCAAATTGACACAGAGCATTTTCTTGTGAAAATGACATTGTCTTAATCAAATTTTGATGAGATTTCTAGAATTTCTAGAATTCAGACATTAGGGAAATGAAATCTTAGGCGCACAGACATACATGTACCTGTACGAGTCTTTAGACCCCCCCCCCCATCATTAAACTAGTACAAGGTAAACAATCTCGTACAAATCTAGACAGAAATAAAGATGGTATTGAGAATTCTTTAATGAAAGTGACATATGTCAACCTTCCCCATACACATAGAGGTGGTCAGTGGAGCCAGACAGAGTCTCAGCGGAACAACTATCGATATCGGAGACTGAAGCTTTCCGTGTAATACAAATCGTACTCCTTCACAAGTTCACAATCATGGCTGGTAAAGCTTAATGTAATTTATCATGTTTATTTATAAATCTATATGGTAGCGATAGTACCCTGTACTAACACAAATACCATCTGCTGTCGTTGATGGCACCTCTTTGGAACTTTTCAAGCAGAAGGTGCAACACATTAAGCTCCGTTGAGCTTCAGACTGTTTTTTTAGCTGCAGATAGAATTCTTGTAGGCCTAGCGCGCCTAGCCCTAGACCGAATTTTTTCGTTAGCCTCTGATTTGGGTAGCGTCGGCTCTCTCTTTAGAGACAGAACAGCCCTATACGCTTTAGTGTTCACGATTTGTGGAAAGAAACGTTACACCGAACTTGGCAAAACTACCAGCCAAATACCATATTTCACAGGATGCATATATGCCTTATACGGTGCATCTTATTTTGAAAATTCAGTCTAGCCTAGCCCTACTACCTAGAGCCTTTTTACTTGCACTGTACACTCAGCACTTGACAAGCACAAGGTACGATAATACGCCAATGGCGGACTGTACTATATACTGGAAGAAGAAGAAATAATAACAATCAATCATCAAACAACATCGAACAAGGATGTATGACTATGAGTGGCCAAGGACTCAGCTCAGTCACATACGAGCTAGTTCATTCACACACTACGCGTAGCTACCATCAACAGCCACCGAGCCATCCAGGGCTCACAGCCATCGCCTCCCCGCTAGCGCTCCCCGCTACTCATGTACTACTCTCAATCAAGTGGCATGATCTGCAATGAATACGATCTACATAAACAAATGGCAATACGTAAAACACACATATCAAGCTTAAAATAATCAAGATCATCAGGTCTATCATGTCACAATACTTACAGCATGTATGATGTACAAGCCAGAGTGATAGCAACAATGAAGTGTGGAGTAAAGCTTTGGTGGTAGTGCTTCTCGTACCGTCGAGGTTCAACGATCTGTGTTTTGGACAGCTCATCTGTCGGTGGCGACCACCTGCGCTGATTACATGCATATCATACACACAGTGCATGCAATATCGACCCAGCTGATAAATTGATTTGTATATACGTAACACTGCATGACAATGAGGGGGCGTGTCATCATCCATGAATCACATCCATGAAGTCGCAGAACGTATAAGGAGGGGGTTTTTGACAGTGGACAGACCCCCTCCAACGCAAAACAAAAAAAGAAACAAGAAAACTCACAAAGCATTGCCTCTCGATCAATCATGTGCATGTGCTAGTGAGAACTTTTTCTCTTATTGTATTTTGCCCTTCACATCTCGGAAGACTAATAATATAGTAACAATAAATTACTATTTATGACCATTCCCTTCTATGAAATATTTAGATTGTCTACTTTTCTCGATGCACTAGGCTTATAAAGGTGCATTTTTGATCCCCTTTAAATGAGACTAACATTAAATTGCAACACGCATCAAAACAATATATTAGGAATAATGTAAAGGTTTAATGCCAAAATCATGTTTAGTGTTAAAATCATGTTTAGTGTTAATCTATATAGGGCAAGGGTTTAAGGTAAGGGTTTAGGGTTAGGGTAGGGTGACAGATAGCTTAATGCCCAGGCCCGGGCCTTAGGTCAGGGCCCAGGGATTAATGACATTTACCTTACCACTTCGACTTGAAGAACAATTTTGTCGAAAGACCGGGGGGGGGGGGGCTGAAACCCATTACCCGAATATTATCATATTTTCTTTCTCTTCACATTTTAATTTCATGGGGGGGGGGGGGGGGGGGGGGCTTGGGGTCAGTTATCCCCTAAATGAAATCCAAACGTGGCTTATTTTTAAGTTGATACGCAGTGATTTAAAAAAAGTGCTGAAATAACATGATTTTCAAGGATTTTTTCTCACTTTTTTGTAGATTATAATTTTTTATGCGTAAATGACAAATCCCTAAATTTACAGTCAGGCAAAAATTATGCTTATTAAGAAGCCTACATAACAGAGCCCGGGGAACCGCGGGGCTCGAGCCCCTCACTTTTTTGACAAGTATGTTAAAGAGAAATAGAAAGAAAGAAAGAAAGATGATAGTGACCTGCCCGTGTCACAAATTAATTAGGTATCACAATATGCTCATCTGACCGTGACTAAATGCCTAAAACCCCTGAGCTTGCTCCCTGATGCTCATCTGACCGTGGGACTCACGCCTAGTATTAGTGACTAATTAGTGATCTGCCAGTGTCACAACAAAAAGGTATCATGATAATTATGCTCATCTGACCGTAATTAAATGCTTAAAACCCCTGAGCTTCAATGGGCTCAGTTCCCCGGACCCCACGCATAATAGTGACCTGTCAGTGTCACAAATAAGGTATCAAAATATGCTCATCTGACCGCAATTGAATGCCTAAAATCCCTGAGCTATCAATCGCAACTATTCTTACATCAGAGCTCAGCGTAGGAAACTGCGAACTTGCGATTGATCGGAGGACTTGCGATTGATTTTGAAAAAAGGGCCCAGAAGAATACCAAAAGGCAGCATCAACCGAATCAGTAATTGTTTTTTTTCTTTCTTTTTCATCCAATTTTATTTACACGTATTTGAATATTGACGTACAAAAGAGACGAGGAAAAAAAAAAAAAATTATATAATAATTGCATAATACCTGCTACTCCTAGATGCATTTTATTTAGAGATAGATGTCTAGGCATCGAAATATTCTTTTCAGCAATGCAAACAAATGGTAATCATGACAATCAGGGATTATTCTAAAATACACAGAAGTGGAACTTCTCCATTATTGTTTAAAAGATCTAGGATATTTTGCGGTCATAATGTTGTACCTTTGATATATCCAAAGTGTTTATACGTATATGCCGCATACATGTGCGTAACACATTCAAATCATATTCCGTGTTATAATAATGACCGGCCCGTCCGTGTCGTGATGAGATAGGGGTACGATGACGTCAAAATTATATGTCTCCATGACAACGGATGACCCATGGCCAACCCTAGAAATTAGGATTTTCATCCCTTTCTTCCTGTAGACAGTTCCCTCTTAATCCTGACCTGGGACTACTCCACCCTAACCTCCTCCCCTTCGCTCTACCTTTCTCTCGCCCTGCCTTGTAATCTATACATTAATGTCAAAGCTAATTTACATCACTCTTATCTCTGGGCTGTGATATATTATGACGTGATTGGCAAAAGGAAATCAAAAATGAAATCAGACATTAGAGGGCAGTATTGCCTTTCATTGCAGTGCATGCAATGTGTATGCTGAAAGGACATGGTACTTCATGAAACAGGCCTGATCTGATTGTATAACCACGAATAAACATCGAGAAACAAAAATTGCATAGAAAAGCAGTATGGAAATATATCATTACTCCGTTACAAACATTAACGAAATTTCAAATGAATACTAAAGTGTCTCTACTGCAATGTACTTTTGGACAATTTGGAAAGGACCTATAATATAAAACTCTTTGTATATCTTGTATGAGATGCAATATAATGGCGTCACGAAAAAGCAAAGCTCATTAAGCTATTAAAACGCTCCCTTTTAAAGTTTCTTAAATACACCATTTTGATTATTACATCCCTCGCAAACCTTACTATACGGCCACTTTCAACATTTTTCAAAAAATGGGCGTTCAGACTGTATATTTTGTTTCTTTGGATGTCCAATTATATTTGTTTTTTATCTTTTTATTAATAGTGAAATAATAATTCTTCTAAACAGTGAAAATAATTTGAAAAAAGAAACTCGTCTTTAAGTTTGACCAATTAGTGCCCTATCCAGTTTTTGATTTGCGACAATACACTTCCCGGGAACGCTGAAAATCTAAATCCATTGAAAGAATATTTTGAATTCAATTGAAACCATTACAACTGCACGAAGCATCCTTTGCATATTGTAAAGCGCTTAGAAAAACAAACAAACTATTACTCAATAAGTTAGTGGTAGAGCGAGTCGGGAGTAAAAGCTAATGCTTCCAAAAGAATAACAGCAGAGAGCCAGGAGAGAGAGGAGAGAGAGAGAGAGAGAGAGAGAGGGGGGGGGGAGGGGGGAGGGAGAGAGGGGGAAGGGAGGGGCAGGGAAGGAGGAATGGAGGGAAAGAGAGATATGGAGTAGAGAGAGAGAGAGAGAGAGAGAGAGAGAGAGAGAGAGAGAGAGAGAGAGAGAATGAGAGAACTAAATGTAATAAAAGGAAACAGCTTATTTGTACAAGCAAATTTGTAGCAGTGAATAATTGTCATTAAACTCCAAATCTCTGAACAATAATTTTCTTCTGAAAGTCACACCGCCTGTCACGGTTACTTATTTCGGAGTATTTTTTAATTTTCAAATTGTATTACTTTTTTGTCTCTTTATAGGGAAGGGTGTGTCGGCTAGAAAGGCTAGAAAGTCGAATAAGCCTTGATATCAGTTTGCCGACACGATTCTAGTTTACTTCAGAAAGTTCAAAGGTGATTTAGACCCAACGACGGAAATACCTTAAAGTCATACTTGAATACATGCAACTCTCCCATTAATCCGATTCTGATACAATCATCTAAATGCAATCTACGTTGAACTTCACAAAGTTATATTCATTTTATAGAATGCTTCCGATGAAAAGTGTGACCTGCCTCTACAGAGCCCCAATATATATATATATATATATATATATATATATATATTATTATTATTATTATTATTATTATATTTTTTTTTTTTTGGGGGGGGGGGGGGCACATTTCTTTTATGTGGGCTACTGAAATGTTTTTTTTTGGTGGGATTTTGAGAGGATCAGGGCGCGGGTCGATTGTGTCCTTAAATCAGCCATTGTGCCACTTCATACTTGCAAATCAAATAATTGATCTTCAAAATGAGTATTTGGTACTTCCCTTTAAATATTGTCCTATATGTTTGTGGAGAGTTCAATGTTCACCGAGGATAGAGAGAAGAAATCTGCCTGGATTACCAAAAATGAAGAAGAAAAAAAAAGATTGATTTGACTGAAACGGTAGCAATTTCAATTTAGTCACGGGCGGCTCATGATGAAATTTCAGTAAATGGCATTCCTGCTGCGTGGAGTTCTTGAAGCCCAAGGCATTATGTTCAAGAGAAAATTAACCTTGTCACTGCTCTTGCCAGACGAACCAGGTATTGAACCAACGGCACTCGATGCTTCTGGTAACAAAGGGGTTAGCGCACGCACGGAACACTCTCGCTCCTCGGTGTTTAGACGCAATCTTGGAGAAGTTGAACTCTGACCTTGGAATGATGCGATTCGATCTGTCTTTGACCTTAATATCTGAGGACATCTCGGTCGCCTGGAGACCCTTATACAAACACGACCCGTCGAGATCGGGTGACAGGCACACATAATACTGATTTGATAGAATGACGGCAAGTTATTGCACGCTGGGGAGAAACACAACCATGATTGTACTGGAGAACAATTACTGCATGAGGAAGACAGAAGGAATGCTCTTTCATACTGAGGATATTAAACGGAAATTAAATATGTTGACTTTTAATAGATTCTGTTCTCATACTTCAGCCTAACACGGAATAACCAAGGAGCTTTAACATAATTATTTCTACATTTTGTGGTCATAAGGCGACCATTTATCGTTTATTTTTGACACCTTGACGGAACGGTACGGTTGATTTCCATCTAGCTAAAATACATCTACTACCAGATAATTATACGAGCGTGAGTATCAATGTGAATCATGTTCGGTCGATGGTCATGATGGTACCATGTCTCTGGTTTGTTGTGGTATACAACATGCATACTAAAATGAGATTGATTATCATTACTTTTCAAAGCTCTGAGATCCGGCCTTATATCAGAAGGATTCGAAATTTTCAATCAAGTAACTTGGAATACCATAACATAACTTTCCTTTCTTTTGGCAAGGATAAGTATGGAATGTACTAGGTTCTTTCTGATTGTTAGGCTTATGTTTAATACGGGTCAGGTGATACACTTGTAAGTATAACTTAACATGAAAAAACATTCTTACAAGAATGAAACGTGAAACGAATTTCGGCGATGGAATTTCGAGATTTCTGCGCTTTCCTCTTTGTAATTCAGTGATTATTCTACACAAATCAAGTTAGTAGGTTAGTTCATCTCTTTTCCAAAAATGAATAAATGGATAAAAACATTAGTCAACTCCTCATAATATTTCATTCTACAATCGGCCCAGGCTTCTTTCTACTTTAGGCGCTCTTAACCCAATTCAGTACTACTAAAGCAAGCCGCATAACAATTGCCACTATGGAAAATTAAATTTTTAACCTGTAGATATTTTGTAAGTTTGGGACTACGAACTGATTGAGATGATGAATCTTACAAAACCATGACAAAGACTGCGTGTGTTGTTAGGGCTAAAGGCGCACGATCAACTTGACAATGCATCTATTCATCAGGCCCCATTGTCGGTCAGATTATTGTACTCTGTTTCTTGTACTATTGTAATGCTGGTGGGAAGCATATTTCCACATTGTGGACGAATAAATAAATCAATCAGATGGATACAGAGCGTGTAATTCGAACAAATTAGATTTTAAACAGTATTTCTCGTCAAACGACAACAAAATACATTCTGTCATCAACTATACATCATTCTGATTAGGTTAATAACTTTACAGGTCCATGTTCCTATAGCCAGGGGAGAGCCTTGTATCGCTTGGAATTTTTGTTGGAAATATTTTCGTTTGTGGCGAGTCAGGGGCGGCCGAGAGAGATAAGGAATGAGAGCGAGAGAGAGAAAGAGAGAGAGAGAGAGAGAGAGAGAGAGGGAGAAAAAAAGGGGGGGGGGGGGAAGGGAGGGGTGTATAACATTAAGATGTGACAATCCTTATTCAGAAAAATTTGAACTATATTAGTGGACATGTTTGTTTGATATTTTTTCAGCTAACTTATTTGCAAATTTGGTCAAACAACCCAATTAAAAGAAAATTGTATAGCAATGCCCCCATGTATAATCATCGGTATACGACAAGGTGACCTATTTGGTTAGTGCCTACCATTCAAACGTTTGTGATTGGAGAACAGTTATGGAGAATTAAAAAGGGTATAAATCGATTGAATATTATGTGATTTATGATACATGTGCATGGGAATGGTAAAGAGCAATTTTGATAATACATAATTATAGTGTATAAGGAAACGACTTTCTGTGATTGGGTCCTGCTGCTTTTTATCTCCACACAGTTAAGATGAAGCATTCATCTTAAAGAATTTTTGATAATTAGCATTATTTTATATGACGCTTATTACATCTCCAATGTCTCTGAGCGCGTTACAGAAATATTGATACCCTGATCATCGGATTCAGACTCGCCCGCATACAATGTATGCATATTCTCCACTCCCGGGGGAGCATATCAGCCAGGCGCCATGCACCTGAGCAAACCGAAGTGACCTTCGCATTTATACCGGCTATCCAGAGAAGAGGAACAAATGTAGATAAAATGCCTTGCTCAGGGATACAAGTGCTGTGTCGGGGATCGAACCTAGGGCCTTCGTATCTCCAGTCAACACCTCTACGGGCCTATCTGACTTTCTGATGTAAAGTGGTTCAATCCTTAAAGACAATCATGCGCGAAAAGTAGAGAAAACATTAGTGTTAAACTGTTACTAATTATTAACACGAACAAAGACTACAAAATATTCAACAAAAAAAAAAAAAAAAAGGGGGGGGGGGGGAGGGGGGTAGATTTTAATATTCATTCGGAATCTGCATGTTCGTACCGTCATTTTCATGTAACCTACAGTCAGTAAAGTGGGTAATTAAACAAAATTATGATAATGTCACCACCTTTATTATCCTGATTTACACGAAAGTTGGACAACTTTTCATCATGTAAGAGAAATAAATGATTGAATAGTTCACCCTATGCCTATAATGATGTTGATAGAAAAGATGTAGGAGATTTCTGTAGTACAAAGGTACTTCTTGTTGTAGTGTAGACCCATGACCTTTGTATGAATAATTCAGCCTGAAGCAGCACTTGAACCTTTCCACTACTTTATCGTCATCCAAATCAGCGTATTATAATATCTGAGCAGGGATATATGAGTCTCTGCTCTGAACACCATCGGTTTTGTTTACAGAGGCAGAGTCCTCCTTCACATTGGCGGATCCAGGTTTTTTTTCGGGAGGGGGAGGGGGCACGTTTATCTAAAATAAACTATTGGAAACATGTCATCTCTATGGGGGGGGGGGGTTAATGTGTATTAATATATATATATATATATATATATATATAGTAAGCCTAATTTGCGGGGGCTTACATGGGTCAAACCATGGTTTAACATAGCTATGATAGCAGATGCGTTTTTCACGAGCAGGTGGGGGGGGGGGGGGTAGTATTTGATTAAAATTTCTTCTAAATGGTAACATTAACATGAATTGTATTTTCTTTACACAGCCCTTGTTATTGACATTTAATTGCTTATTTTAATTGTACGCTTAAATAAGAGGAAGTATTCATTTCATTCATTGGCCTGACAGAAATTCATTCGCATTATTCACGTACAAAACAGGACATACACTTAATAAATTGAGCAATGTTATATCGAAGTTAGATTCCTATACAATAACATCAGATTTAGCTTTCAAAGTATGTTAAAGCTATAAACCTAACAATGAATATTCTGAACTAATTTGAATGTGCATGAATGAAATGACACCATGCGCACACATAAGCCTCCCCTCCACCAGGGATGACAATAATTACAGTCTGAATGCCACCGTTGCCATGGTTGCATCAGTAGTGAAAATATATACACACACAAAAAAGATATATATATATATATATATATATATATATATATATATATATATATATATTCATATTAACAAAAGATAAATAAATAAATAAAAAAACAAAACACAAAAGCATATTTGTATTATAATTCTGAAGTAGAGTAAAAAGATTATATATCAATGTTAATCGAATAGGAAGCTTACATCGACCTTAATATCAATACGAAGATTATGAAGCCTGCCTACAAAATGTGAACCCGGCTAGTAAACTTATTATCCTTTGATAACGCATACAGCGGTTATCGGTATGACTTATGAGGATTACCTTTGCAAGTATTTGTCGGGTCCCTTTTAAACCCCGCATCAAGTATGCCAAACAGATTATTTGGTTCGTTTCTTTTCGTTTCATGAATTCCACTTCTCGAAAGCCTACCCCGTAGGAATTTAAAATGCAATTTCGATTATAAATTGAAGTAATCACTTCTCACCGAACCTGTCCACCCATTCCCTTTGATCTTGATCCCCTACTATTGTTGCCTGTGTTGACATTGTTAACGAACTAAATCAATATCAATGCCCTGGAGTTGATTTTTTTGACGGTTTTTTTTTTGGGGGGGGGGGGGGAGGGGGATGGAATGAAACAGATCCTGACTTGATAGATTCGTTTGCAGCCTGAACTAGTGCCGTTCAGATTGTGCCTTAGGAAAGTAACTTATATATGCTTGCATTTTTGTAAATTCTCCATTCTGTGCTCTGATAGCTGTGATATAGGCCTATAGACGATATAGAGAAGAACGTATTGAATGGACACAAAAGGAAATCTAAAGGTTTGAGACTGAGAGGCGGATAGGGGGGGGGGGGAACTTTATAGATTTATCCTCTCTCGCAAGCAGAAAGCAAACTTATGGGTGAAGAGATAGGGAGAGAAAGAGAGAGAGAGAGAGAATGAACTGGGAAAGAGGGATAACGAAATAAGATACACAAAAAGATGACAGAGGAAAGGGGATATAGATGGCAAGAAAATGTCAACGTGAAGAAGGGGGATGAGAGGAGAGAGAGAGAAACACACACAGAGACACACATAGAGAGAGAGAGAGAGAGAGAGAGAGAAAGATATTCGGAGGGTGAGGGTGCTTTTAGTGCTATCAGAACAATATAATATTTTTATTCAAGGTAATTTCAGCTACCCATGCAGTATGAGGTGATGGTGTCTAGAAGCTGTATCCCAGTTTGTGACTCCACAAAATGTCATTATTTGAACTAATAATTCTTCGAACTACTTGTACTGCAGGTCCATTTATTCCACCGCCACCAACAATAGTTTCTAGACGACCAAGTCTGCTCTGAAATATCCATTTCAACGAAGATCACAAAACGTCTTTTATTTCAATGTTTTTAATCAAAACAAACGAGGATTTCTGTTTGTTTTAACATGTCGACCCTTTCTTGGTCACCAAGCTGTGAAACTCACTCCTTTTTAAAGGCCTATTTACTTAACTCCTTATAGCCTTGCACATTATACCGTTGCTGATCAGATGCTTTTAGTGTACTTGCGAAGCACCTATTCAAACCAAGTCTTGCATGCAAGCACTTGCAGGCAGCGGAGATGACTAGCAGAGTTGACTCCTCAGTGATCGTACAGTGAAGTCTGAAGGCTGGGATATACATAGTGCGGGGGTTGCTCAGTTGCTCGTCGATGTCAGCTCTGTCTGTGCCGCATCTTCCTCTCCTTAATATCCCTCGACGCGACGTCATTCATCTCACCCGCACATCCACAACCTCACTCGAGTAAGTCATCCAGCTCACATCCTCTCTCTCCCCATCTCCTGGACTAATACCTCGCCAGCGTAAACGGATCTTTGCTCCCTAGGAACCCCCGCAGCCTCCCCTTCGGAAGCCGGTCGCAATCCAGCTCAGCTAGGTAAGGAAAACATTAGGTGTGAAGAAAGAAATGTTGAAAATGGGAGGAAATGCAGCGGATTTTCGACATTCCTGCTGATTTGGGTCACAGATTAAAGTGCACTGTGGCTTTTACATTTGTGAACTTGTACCGGCCGCTATTTGTAATACAAGACGTCTCTTCGGTCATGATGTTTCTTCTTTGTGACGTTGTCATGACGTTCAACTCAAGTCTGTCAATGTTCATTCTCGTTGTTCGAGTAATTGCCAAGCACTGCCTCTGAAACGTCTACCCCGTTCCTATTGCTTCTTGCAATGTCTGTTTTGATCATTTTGGTAAAACTGTACGATTCTGTATTGATTTCTTACCACTTTGTCTTTATAACTTAGTTAAACTTACCATGATTTTTCTTGGCAATACCAAGCATCTTGTGTCATTTTTGTGAAAGAATATTTCGAAAACGAGGAACTGTATAGGTCAGGGTTGTTCACATGTCATGAACTCCATTTAAACTGGATAACTTGGAAGTAGTCATTCATAGTTGTCTGGCCATCATATTTAGAAAATATGATTGGTGGATGTAATGTTTCACTGATACATCAGGATTTATCTTTCTTCATCTGACTTGGATTGTTTTGTAGTTTTGTAGAATTTACTATCACGATGTTGATAACCATCGATCCTGCATAATAATAATAATAATAATAATAATCCGGTTTTTTATATAGCGCTCAATACACCGATTTATACGAGGTTCTGAATTCAGCACATTAATTCACACCGCATCCTCGATTTTGAATGTACCACAGACTTTTTGCACGGCGAGACAACCCCGCTATAGCTATAGCTATGAATTATGTTCAGCCAAGTCTCTTTTGTCTATCAGCCCATCGATAAAACCCTACTCAGTTTTAGTCATACAATTTCATGCTTCCATTAAACGTCGCCATGGCAACATACTCGCACATTCGACGCTGATATTTTATTGATACATGTAGGATCCACTCAAACCGGGAAGAAGCGAGATGGATTGGACTCATGGGAGCGTATTTGTTTGGTATACTTGCTATTATTAATGATAATGATTATAATAATGGGTTCTTCAATAGCGCTCATGTCTGTCAGACATGACACTTCTGGCGCTCCACAATTATTATTACCCCGGCTTTAACTTTAAAACGTCATTTGTAATCTTTGGGATGAAAGAGAATAACAAATTTGAATAAGTCTAAAATATATCAGATTTGTTATGACACAAGTCATAAATCAAGAGGTATAGGTCCAACAATACATAACCCATGTAATAAAAAAAATGATAGAAAAGATGATGAGATGATGTGGTGATGCCGGTCACATTTCATATTTTCTTGGACTCCATTAGGAATCTAATACCGAACAGAAATGTTTACAAATTTGAGAACATGAAGTAAATGTTATTACAACGTTTATGTTCAGTCAATGCCTGAAATAATATGATAGCAGTATCAAGGAGACGCCCCCAGCACCCCGTAGTGTATATATATCTCAATGTAATGGAAATGCATTTTTCTTGTGGGTAGATTCCATGCTCAGTTCAACGTGCAGGCCTGTATAACAATTTCTGAACGTGCATATCGTTTGTAATAACAACTATAACGACGATATATTTTCTAAAGCGCAATAGTGAGATGGTGACAAGTTAACAACCTCGACCGCGACCGTGTTCTATTCTGTGACCGTCCAACTCCCGTGGTTGTCGTACATTTTCCCCGATGGGTCCCAAAGAAACTCAAACCTCGCACTCTCTTGAAAGCTTTTATAACTGTGTCAAGGAATGTGAGCTGCTGTCGTCATAATTGAAGTTGATATATTAACTTTTATGCTATAGAGGTTGGATGCGGGTGACAGCGGGGACGAGAAAGGAGAAGTAACTGCCCCAAACTGTGAATATTTTCAGGGTCCCTTATATATATAGTGAAGACATAAGTGTTTGCTTTTGCTATATATAGAATCATCAATGGCAAATTGAGATACTTATATCAAGTCCCATATCTGATTTACACGTTGTGTATTTATTTTTTATTACAATCCATACTCGTCATGTTCTGAGGAAGATCTAGCATCTCACACTAGACGTGCAGAAAAATGGGGGCATGGGGGTATGCGCCCTCCCCCATGTTAAAAAGTCAAGAAATAGGAAGAGGGAGAGGGAGAGGGAGAGATAGATATATAATTATAGATAGATATGGAGATAGAGAGAGAGAGAGATAGAAAGAGGAGGAGAAAGAAAGTTGGTATTTGAGTATTTTACCAACCGCTGTGCCCCAATGATTTCAGCAGTACCCCTTCACTGCCTGGACAGATGCTACCCCTCCGACTCGAACAGCCTAACGACAACGTACACCACATTAATGTTCTAGCAATGTTATCACTTATGTAAACGAAACGCATGGCAAAATTTGTATCCCTGTGACATCTCGACAATGTCGTTTCATATTATTATGGCAATAACTTTTAAATCTATATGCCATTGTGACAACCATGACACGATGGTATTTCCTGAGAGCATATTATTTCCCTCTGTCTAGACTTCTAGTTGATTTGCCAATATCTTTTCCTGATTCCATGAATTCGAAAAATTTGGCGATAAAATAAAATCGACTGAAATAAAGAATAACTACGTACACCATTGGCGTAGCCTACGTCCACACATGGGGGGGGGGGGGGGTCTTACAATGTGGATAAAAAGATGCATTAACACGGCCATCGAGCGGGGGGTTAGCGGGGTGTGGTAATAATAATCATATTTATTTCCACGTTCCCATTATCCCCTCTTTCTCTCTTTAATTTTTTGAAATGTTGTATTTACTTCGCCACAAAGCCATCGATGCAAAGGCAATATATTGCCATTAATGCCGAGGTCTAATATCTAACCGGATAGGTATGCATCAGGTGTAATTGCTTAATTATTGAAGTGGTATACCCTACGCCTGTTGATATTTTTACCATACGCCGAAGTGCAAGGCTATATTCATTTATAAGATTAATGGTTTCTTTCCCACTTATCAATAACAGTGTTTGCACAAAATCAATTTGCCTTTGGTACCGGTGCCCTGAATATCAAATGCGATACCGAAAATGTATTGGAATGTCATTTTTGGCCTTAGCCTGTTGGTTACTTTTGCAAGGAAACACTGGCAAGTTAGGAATTGAAAAGGTGACATGAACAGTTGAAAAGGAGACAAGGCTCAGAACCCTTATATTGATTAAATAAACGGTGGTATATCGAGAACGAAATCATTGATAATTTTAGCTTCACTCATTTTGATTAATTAAAATTAACATGCATTAAAGATAACCCTAGTCATAATCATGTAAGGTTGGGCGTAACCCCAGTGTCGGAATTCCCTGTTTATGGGGGGGGGGGGGGGCACAAATGTCCGTTGTCCCCCGGTTGTGTTATTGTGCCCCCTTCCCCAAAATCGTCTCACAAGCCACTTGTCACATTTATTGACATTCAAGTTTTATTGCTCCTCAATTTTTTCCCTCGAAATTGTGCCTCGATCCCGCCCCATTTTACAGGCGACCGCCTAAACATGCCCATGGTGGCTATGTCTAGGTGAAGACGATTTCGAGTCATTTTCATCGCGGATTTATTATATTTTCAAATGTCAAACCTCTATTATTGTTCGCAATCAAACTTCATTATTGATCTAGTTATGGGCACTTGGCCTCTGACGTTTTGTTTGGAGGAAGATTGTAAATGTATGAAGCCTGAAGGGAGAAGATAATGGACAGTGGACAGATAATCATGGTAATAGCTTGTCACTTATTAATCATATATTCTATTCAAGGGTAGGCCTATTAGTGAAATTCCCTTGTACCTACATCAGGATTAAGTAGTTCAGAGTTGACGGCCGGCAGGTCTGTTTTGCAGGGGCGGAAGGGGGCACATGGTCCCCCAAATGAATTGTTTAGTGATTATGTTATCAACAAATTAACGGAAATATTACACTATTGTTTTGACGTTTACAAATTCATCGTCATTATAATTAAGTATCCAGCTGTGTGGGCCTACAATACTAGTAACTACATCTGAGTATCGACATTCCACTGTCTGGACCATTGTAGAATCAGTACGTTTGTACGCACTGAAGACTGCACTATGCGAAATGTACTGGTGAACTCTGGAATTTTAGGCAGACACAGATGCCAAATTAATGACTATGGGACTGCATGCTGTCATGATGCTATACAGCAGTCATATATTACCACCCCCTTTCAAACCTCAATCACAATCCCCTCATCAATTGAATTTGGAATTGAAATAAAAAGATTTGTAGGCCTTTTAATAATAAGTAACTTGATTACGACATGCACTTCATAAGTATAGCAGTTGATTTATTATTGGATAAGAATAAAATGAGATTAAAACTTTAGATAGGAATTTCATCGTGAAATGGGTGATTGAGAGAGGGATCATAGGTATGACGTATTTCAAAGCGAGCTGGACGATTTAGAGAAACATTAATCTATTTGTGTATCGGTAATCAATATTTCTCGCAAAGCAAGGCTTAATTAATTCATGTTTTATCTATTCACTTAACGGATGGTGCCAAAAATAGCCTCTACAATAATCACTTCGCATGTCATTGTTTATTAGGCGGCAATACAGTGGTTTCGGAGCAGGCAAAATAGAAAGCACGCAGTTAACATACAAACATGAAAACATATCAACCAAAATTGTTTGTAATAAAACTCTTGAAACAGAAAGAGACTAGGGCGCTTGTATGATTTTGTTGAGGGGGGGGGGGGGGGGGGGGCGTCAATATCACCCAAAGACAGAATAGAATAATAAGATTTGACGGCGTGATTTAACCCTAAAATTATCTTTCAATCAAAAGAAGAAAAATGGGGGGGGGGGGGGGAGGGGGGGGGGACCGGACCTAACGAACATTCCCCTCGATTGGCCATCGTCTTTGTCCGATTCCTCGTTTCATCATAAAACTTACTCAATTTCTCCTGAGTTCTCTCTGTGTGTC